GCTACAAAAAAGATAAAATATCTAGGAACAAACCTCACCAGAGACACAAAAGACCTATACAGAGAAAACTACAAAACACTGCTACAAGACTGCCTCGGAAACTCAAGGTGGGGTCACTATGAGTCGGGTCCGACTTGACAGCACATAACAACAACAACAACACAAGAGACAACAAGGGTACTACATAAACGGAAGAACCTGCCTTGTTCATGGATAGTTAGACTAAACATTGTGAAAATGTCAATACTACCTAAAGCAATTTATACATTTAATGCAATCCTGATCCAGATTTCAACAAAATTTTTTAAGGGCATGGGAAAACTAATTACTAATTTCATATGGAAAGGAAAGAGACCTAGAATAAGCAGAGCACTTCTCAAGAACAAAAACAAAGTGGGAGGTCTCACTCTCCCAGATCTTAAGAACTACTATATAGCCACAGTAGTCAAAACAGCATGGTATTGGTAAAATGATAGACAGATAGACCAATGGAACTGAATCAAAAGCTCAGGCATAGACCCATCCATCTATGGACAACTGATCTTTGACAAAGGCTCAAAGCCCATTAAATGGGGAAGGGATAGCCTCTTTAACAAATGGTGCTGGCAAAACTGGATATCCACCTGCAGAAAAATGAAACAAAACCCATACCTCACCCCATACACAAAAACAAACTCAAGCTGGATCAAAGACTTAAATGTAAAACCCAAAACTATAAAATTCATCAAAAGATAAAATAGGGGCAAATCTAGGAGTCCTAATTTACGGCATAAATAGACTATCAAGCATAACCCAGAATGTGCAGGAGACAGAAGATAAGCTAGATGACTGGGACCTTTTAAAAATTAAATTCTGTGCACATTGAAAGATTTCATCAAAAGGGTAAAAAGAGAACCTACAGATTGGGAGAAAATATTTGCCTATGACATATCTGACAAAGAACTTATCCCCAAAATCTACAGAAAACTTCAACACCTCAACACCAAAAAGACAAATAACCCAATTCACAAATGGCAAAAGACTTGCTTAGACACTTCACCAAAGAAGATATACAAGCAGCCAACAAACACA